CTCTTGAACTGTTGTTGATCTGTTGTTGTGAGCATGCAGCACACGGCCTAGTAGGGTTTTGAGAGGGAAACCGAGTTGTTTCGTTTAGGATTTAGACTCAGTTTCCTCTGATTCCTCTGTTCACACGCAATTTTGTGCTGTCAACCTGTTCACTGTTTCCTTCATTTTTAGCATTTGTTTCTCTATGTTTATGCTTATTTGGTCAAAAGTGGCAAGTGGTACACTATTACACACGCACGGTCAACGAAACGAAACCGATTTCGCCAAACCAATCTTCTATCATTCCAGAGTCAGGTTAATTAGTACCAGACCCGTCTGGGAGGTTGCTGAATTGTACATCAGCTGACCCCAGCCATCTATTGTATAAGCCACATACGCAATCAAACAGCTGCTACGATTCTGAAGTGGAGTCGATTGCGGGGCGCATCATACCCACTAAATTCGATAGCCTTCTATGTTAGCGAGCGGATATGAGCTCTATAATGTATGATGAGGGAGTGATGGGTCATTGGTTTTTGACAGAACGTGATAATAACAGATAGAACCTGACTAATAAGAGAGGCAGGAATAGCCGAGTGGATAAGAGTATAAGCTCAGGTCTGCACTGAGAGGGATCATGGCTGTGAGGATAGACTAAGAAGAAGTAGTTCTGGACAATAATATCAGTGTACGCAACACAAGCCGGTTGCCGCGTCTATGAGAAGGATGAGTTCCATCTCAGCCTCGACGAGGCCATCCGATCATTTCCGAAGGGGGACTATCTAACCATAGGAGGTGGTGATCTGAATGAGCATGTCGACAATGAAAGGAGGGGACTGGGAAGAGTCAATGGAGGTAGAGGTGTAGGAGTCAGAAAAGAAGAAGAAGAGATTGCCCCGGCTCTAGCTCACGACTAGGCAGTCTGCAGCACCTTCTTCGCGAAAAGGAAGTCTCAGAAGGTAACCTGCAGCAGTGGAGGGGAATGAGCGGGAATAAATCATGTGCTAGTAAGAAAACCGTCCCTCAAAACTGTAAAGGACATCAAGGTACTGCCTGGGGAAGATCTGGCTCTTCAGCACAGGCCTCTCCTAGCAGACATAGCCATCGATGTTCCCAAGAGATCGAGGACAAAAACGGAACGTAGGATCCGGTAATGGAAACTGCACCGATTGGGAAAAGACCTCAAAAAGAAGGTAATGAAAGCTGGACCTCCAGATCCCGAAGGACCGATTCAGCAAATCTGAGTCAAGGCTGTAAAAGTCATCTTACAGTGTGCGAGGGAAACGCTGGGAAAAACTTGATGTGGTTCCCGATGGGACAAGGAAGCCAGATTCTGGAACGATGAAGTACAACGAATTGTGAGGCAGAAAAAACCGGCCTGCAAACGCTGACACAGGACTCGAACCCCAGAGGACCTAACTGCCTATAGAGCTTCAAGAAGGCTCACCAAGGCTGCTGTAGCGAGGACAAAGAACACGGAAATGGACGCCGTATGGTAAACTTGACAGCCGAGAGGGAGAGAGGTTCGCCTTCCGCCTTAAGAAAGCGCGTCATCGCGCCACTCAGGATACCGGGGTAGTGAAGTCCGTCAGGAACAGCGAGGGTGCAATCCTGAAAAGCCTGGCGAGGTCAGGTCTAGGTGGAAGGAATACTTCAACAGGCTCCTTAACGAAGAACTCGTTCGTAGGAACGGCTCCCAATCAGAGGCAAGGGTTGGTATTTGATCTGGTTTTTCTTTGTTTTCAGCCCTTCGAATGAGCTTGGGCGCGACGCGACCGCGTCGACCGTCTGCCTCCCTCCTCCCCCCTAGCACTACCTCGGCTGGCCCACCGGCGCGCCGGCGGACTATGAAAGCAGTTAGTCGCGAAGGGCAGTTCGGCTTCAACCTAAGAGGTCTACAACGGATGCCATCTTCATAGCCAGACAAGAAATGGAGAAATATCGAGAAAAGCGTAGACTCAGCCTCCCGCGACAAGTCATCTGGAGAGCGCTCCGAGAACGAAACGTTCCAGATCAACGCATCTCCCTGGTCGAGGACATGTACGATGGTTCCACGACAACAATGCGCACTCCACATGGCCAAACCGGAGCAATATATGTCACAGCTGGGGTACACCAGTGATCAGCTCTAAGCCCGTTCCTCTTCCTGCTCAGGATGGACGTCATCACAGAAGAACTGATGGATGAACCACTGAAGACCATTCTCTACGCTGATGACATCGCTCCGATAGCGCAGAGCAGGGAAGAACTCCAGGGCAAAGCTCAAGAAATGGCAGGAAGTCTGGCGGAAAATGGACTTCGGCTGAACGTGAAGAAGACCAAGTTCCTCAGCTCCGAGAAAAGGACGAAGTCAATCGTCGACGTTCACGGGGAAGCCATCGAAAAGGTCCAGGACTTCCGGGACCTGGGGAGTGATCTAGCCGCTGATGGTAACGTTTACCAGGCAGTAAAATCCCGAATAAACGCAGCACGGATGAAGTGGAGGGAGTCCATAGGTGTCCTCTGCGACCGTCGGTGCTCCAGGACTCTCAAAGGAAAGTTCTATCAGGCAGTGGTAAGGCCCACGATGCTCTACGGTAGCGAGTGTTGGCCCTTAAGTAAAACCCATGAAGGAAGCTCCACTCCGCTGAACTGAAAATGCTCAGATGAGCCTGCGGCTAGACGCGGCTAGATCGGGTCAGAAAAGAAGACGCTAGGACGCTAAGGCAAACAGTCCCAGTTCAACTGAAGATGAGAGAGCAGCGCCTGCAATGGTTCGGGCATGTAGTAAGATTGCCACAGAGCCATCCGATAAGGAAGGCAAAGGGGTTCGAATTCCAATGTAAGTGACCACGAGGAGCCCCAAAGAAGAGATGACGGGACGGATCAAGAAGGACCTCGCCGAAGTTAAACTGACGGCAAAGATGCCGTAGATAGAATGAAATGGACACTGCTAACAAGAACAGCGGACCCTGCGACGGCGCGGGATTAACGCTAGGGTCAAGAAGAAGGAGAAGAAAAAGGCGAACCTGACTATATAACGTGCTCGCGTCTGTCTAACTGATTGTTTGTTTGAAATTCGATATTACCTGAAAAACACCTGCAGAAGTCTGGTCAATTTTTTGATGGGTTGGGAGTAGGACAAGACCAACAGAGCTCCGCCCACAGGGGAGGGTGTACGACCGATGTTTTGGGTCAAATGTCTGGATTAGGTTCCTTAACAACCCACACGCTGGTAAAGTAAAATATAGGCGAAGGTGAGGGATGGATCAACAAGCGAACTGAAGGAGACTCACAAGCGGTGGGTGGAGTATTCTCACAGTGAGCGGTTCTTACCATCTTGTAAGATCGTTGCTCGATTCAGCGGAAGCGTGGAGGGCAAAAAAAACTAAGTGAGCAAGGCTTTGTGCATGCTAGGCATACGTAAACACGTCGAAGCTGCCCCCGCAATGGGCGGGGCGTGCATAGCATCCGAATGTTAGGTCTTTTTTGAAAAAAATTGATAATTCTGTTCAAGAACGCTCTAGCAAGTGGGAAAAGAGTGATTGAAGATAATGGAAGGAATGCGGTTATACCCCTGGAGTGGGCGAGCTTGCCTAAGGTGAGCGAAGCTGAGGTCGAAAGTTCATAACGTTGTTCAGAAAAGTTCTAACGCGGACAAGAGCGGTTGGAAGTAATGGAAGAATAGGCCCAAATCCCTGGAATTGGCGGGGCTAAGATTTAAAAGGGTGGTCAGACTTCGATAGCAGGAGGGGTCTGTACTGAGGTGGACGGATTTTTGATCAACCACTAATATTTCTGCTCATATAAAATATATCTAGTGGGTGCTCTTAGAGCGGTTCCAGCTTTCGAATTCGGGGAGAACCATGTCACTCTGATACATCAAATATTCCGCTGAATGACTCCATCGCAAGTGTGCGGTCGTGGATATATTATACAATGCACGTGTTAGCGTGCATAGCCCAACTGGTATATGTATATGTCATAACAGCACATTGCATTTAAATTGTAGATATCCTCCATGTGAGAAAAAAAAANAAAAAAAAACAGAATTCCCTAAGTGTTTCTTCTTCACAGGAGTCCTCAAGATTTGAAAAGTATAACCATATCCGCAAGTCATTGTGAAGCCCCGATTGCATTCAGACGCCACCACATCTCTGGAATCTCTGAAGAAAGCCAAATGCCTTGGTGCGTTCTCAGGATCAATTTAGCACATCAGTAGCTAATACTTTGCTCCTTTGAAATCTCATTTTTATTTAGGCCATCGGAAGACGTGTGATGGAGGCATATTCTTCTGGAGATGGGAACGCCAAAAAAGATATACTACTAAGTATTGCAAGTAGCTGTGGACCGGACTTGCTGGCTCTCAATAACGCCATTTCGATTTATGGCAAGGTAATATGATCATTTTGTATACGTTCAGATTCGGCAATAAATTTCAGTGTCTCCTCTTTCCGGTTAGTCAATCAGTAAACTACAAATTTAAATGAAATTTCGATGATGATGAATTAAGATAAAATTTTCCCAGCTATTCACGGTTTTCAGGGAAAAATAATGGTAGTACTCGAAAGTACTGAACTGATTTCACGGTTTTCCAGAAAACGACTTTTTTGGAGAGGCTTTGCATCTCACTATCTACGTCTTATAAGCAGCACTTTTGCCTTTCACAAGTGGCCGTTTTTCGCGATGAATCTAAGCTTTCGGCTCGAGTCACCGAAGTTTGTGCGCCCCAAACGATCGTGCAAATAATTAGGTTAGAGCTGAGCTCATTAGATGTTTGGATGTTTATTGGGAGAAGTCTACAGTTCTAACATCAGTGGATGTACACGATCACCTTGTATCATGGGTTTCTTGTATGTAGCGGCCTAAATGCCTTACGAATTTTCGTTGCATTGCACACTCCTTTAACCCATTCTCCTCATTCTTGTCCTCATTCGTTTTTGCAAATTTGCTATGCACGACACTTCTAGTGATAGCGCGGGGAAGTTGTGATTGTGGAAGTTGCGGTTGTGAAAATATAGCATTTTTGAAAGAAAGCTTGTATGTGCTTAAAATTCAATGTCACATTTTTGTTACAGAATCCAAGCCTAGCTCATGAAGTTCGAGAGGCAGCTACTCCAGTACATTTCAGACTTCTTCAGTCAATTGGCAACTTGCCAAACGGAATACGGCAGATATGTGACATTAGAGCTCATTTACTGGTCTGTATGCCTTTGTTTGCCGCAGTTCCTCTTCCACAACAATGTAAAGGAGAATAGACTTTCAGCTCTTGATGAAAACGGAAGAAGACAAATCTACAGCTTCGTCACTGCATCGTCTCGAAAGATCTGCTCACGAACTGCTTGTTTTGTGGTTTTGCCAAAGTAATATGAAGCTGGAAAGACTGACTTGGCAGTCTCCGGGAGATATCCTACAAAAGGTATTCGATGCCGTTCTTTGTTATTTGTCAGCTTCAAAACAGACCAATCAACTCGAAAGGAAAGGGTTTCAACTGCTTATGAAGCTTTGAATGAAGGCCTAGGTTTTCGATCCCTTCATTCTGGGTGGAGCATCCCTAAGTCTGCGCATGCCCAGCACGCAAAAAGCCTTGCTCATTTCTTCTAACTTTTTTCTTAGCCTCCACGCCTTCACCGAACAGAGTTATGCTCATGTGAAAATTACCGCCTTCTGCGAAAACGCTCCGCCCACTGCCGATGAGCCTCCTTCATATCATTTGTTGACATAACCCTCATCTTCGCTCATTTTTTCCCAATGTCTGGACTGTTTGAAGACCGAATGAGAAAGACTCGCCCAAAACACCGCCCACTTTTGTACATGTCCCGCCCTCTGTGGGCGGAGCTCCGCCGAGCTCACGTGTGCTCTGTTGGTCTTGCCCTATGCTCAATCCATTCAAAACTTGACCAGACCTTTCCAAGTGATCCTTCAGCCAGTATCGAATTTCGTGACAGACAGACAGCCAGACGCGACCGCTTTATATATAGTAAGGGTGGCAATCGGGAGGTTTGACGAGTAGGGAGGGTGAGAATACTTCTCATCCAAGTTCGGCATGTTTCTGACGAGACAGTTTCGTCAAACTTCCTCGCTGCGGACGCTTCCTTCGAATAACGTTGGTTGAACTCTGTAGCTGAGAGGCGTAAATCCGTCGGTGACGGTGGAACACTCAGAAAGTAATTTAAAGGACAGCAATCCCCCGGAGTCCCGCCAACAACACAGCCACCCTTCCAATGTGTGGTCCACTTTTCTGAAATTGTTGATGGACTATCATTCTCAGGCAGCTCACCTTTCGGTCGAAGGTTGAAGTCGTAGCTGCGAAACTTACAAGGGCATGCTTATATGTTTCTCTTCTAGGTTCATGAACGGTCTACGATAACCTACTACGGAATTTCCCGAGTGGCCCCCTAAAAGAATCTAGAAAGGGGTAAAAACGAGCTAAACTTCTTACTCAACTTAATATATAAGAGAAGTGTTGTTCGGAAATTCAAAAATCAAAAACCATTTTCATCCGAAAAGAAAAGCCCAATGTTATTTCTACTCTTTCTTACACTAGTGCAGAAAGCATTCCAAGCTTTCGTAATCCAGATTTGATGTCTCTCATAAAGGAGCATCCCTATCTGTGTCAGAAAAGGTCAGTATTGAGCTTTATCTAGCGATTATTTCCTATGTTCCTTATGGCTAGTCCTTATGCGTTTTAGTCTGCGGAATGTGTAAAACTGTTTTGGAAACCTTGAGCATACATTCTACAGAAATGTTAAACAAGTTCATGTACACAGGATGCAAACGCCCATGCCAGTCCAGCACTGCGACCATCATTCATCGAGGTAATAGTAGAAGTGGAAATAAATGAGAGTGGCCGCTACCTACAACACTTTTACCAGCTTCAACGTAGTTTGAGCGAGCATTAATGTAACAATTAGGGGAAGTTAATTACGTACATTCGTCCGATCTTACCACTTCGGTGCGAGCCTGTTTTTAACACAGTTCACGATAAAATTGTTTTCTGAGTTTTCTGAGATCACCGCTAAAAATCCAAAAATGAATCGGAAAGATGAATGTCTGGCTGTAACTAACGAGCTTGCCCCCTTCCTCGACCTGGGTGGTTTTCATTTGCCACCAGCGTCAGAGGCAATTGTCAGAACACTCGGGCCCGCCCACTGCGAGTAGCTTAAATACACAATTCAAAAAAGGAGGGTCAACGGTGTGACATCTAAGGTGGGTTCCTATTGTGATTTGCAACACTTTCTTAGATATCTATAGGGCCACACTTGGACTAAGCTGAGGTCTGAACATTGTTTGGTCAGGATGAATCTCAAATGATTTTTGGCTTCAAGGCTCTAACGAAGGCGGTTGGCCGAAACGTTAGCCGAATAAATAATGTATCATCTTGGTCGTGCCTTCAGAGAGACCTAAGTTATCATATACTATGCCAAGTTTAGATGATGGTCGAACATGGTTGTTTTGGATGAACCTATGAGCCCCAAGAGTAGATCAGGGGGCGCTGCCAGGTCGAAAAACGGCTTAGATAGGGCGTAAGGCCCAGGAATGAGCGAGTTCTCACGGCGTTGTACAAGCTGAACAGATTGCACCATTGCACAGAGACGCACACCTTGCTCGTAAGCAGTTCACTCTAGCCAGCTATATGCATTGACACACACACAC